TAGATAAGTCAACTAATCAATCAATTTTACTCTCGATTTTTTATTGGAGCTTGTTGTTGTTGTTGTTGTTGCGTAGGTGCCCGTAGTTTGGCCCTCCTCTTGTCCCTCATTTGTGGCTTCTTCTGTATCGAGTTGCAGGAAAGCAGCTGCTTCGATCGGGTTTTCCCAGAGTGCGTGGGGGGTGATTGTAGTCGGGTTTGCGCTGCACCTGAATAGGTGACCCGTTGTGTGGGTTTCTGAGTTGCACTGTGGGCATGTTTCTGGGGTTGATTCATCTAGTCTGTGTAGGTAGCTTTGTAGGAATGGGGAGTATCCGCTCCGCAACTGGGCAAGGGTCCGTCTGGTACCTCTCGGCAGTCGTAATTCATCCTTGCTCAGTTTGGGGGCTGGTTCCTCGAGCACTTTGTTGTTTTTCCCGGTTGTCTAGGGCGTCTTTGACCTCATTTGTGTGCACTTTTTTGAGGAGCCCTCTGTAGTCCTCTTCGGTAACGTGCGTGTCGTCGTCTTCTTCTGAATCGGATGTTTCGAGGAGTGCAGTGATGTACCTCTCGTACCTGCTGAAGAGCGTTTCCTTCATGTTTCTGGGCGGTTCCGGTCGGTCTAGCAGCCTGTTGCCAGGGTGTCCTTCGAGATGATGGGCTAGCTGGTGCTGGACTGCTTTCATACGGATATGCCGCCTGACAGGTAGGATTTTCGTCTCGTCGTGCAGGTGCTGGATAGCGGTCATCGTGGTGCATCCTGTGGCCACTCTTAGGGCTGAGTTTTGGACTTTCTGCAGCGTTTCTACGTGGGTCTGTGCAGCGATCGGAGTCCAGACTGGTGATGCGTACTCTAAGACGGGCCTGATGTAGGCTTTGTAGGCTACTATGAGGGTTTCCTTGCTCTGTCCCCAGGTAGTTCCTGCCAGCGCTTTCAAGATATTCACTCTGCTCCTTCCTCTAGCTGCGGCTAGTTTGCAGTGTGGGCCGAATGTCAGGGCTGTATCGAAGGTGACGCCTAGTATTTTCGGTGTTTTCGCCAGAATGAGGGCTTTCCCGTTGATCTTCACGTCTGGTATGATTTTGTGTTCTTTGGTGCTGGGCGTGAAGAGCGTGACGGAACATTTCGGTGTTGAAACCTCCAAATCTCGAGAGTCTAGAAAATTGCAGAGCGTCGTCAGGTAGCTGTTGATGCCTTTGCTTGGTGTCTCTATGTCGGTCCCAAGGGTGAAAACTGTGAAGTCGTCGGCATAGGATACTAAGAAAATTGTCGGTGGAGGCATTGTAGCATCTGCCACGTAGAAATTGAACAGCGTAGGAGCCACAACCGATCCTTGTGGAACTCCAAATCTGACAATACGACTGCTTGACAGCGTGTCTCTGAACAGTGTGCGGGCCTGTCTACCGTGCAGGTACGTGGCTAACCAGCGTACAAGTGCTCCTGGAAGCGTGGAATCGTTAATCAGCTTGAGGAGGGTAGCGTGACATACAGTATCGAAAGCTTTCGAGAGGTCCAATACAACGAGAACAGTACGGGCAGCGGGTTTTCGTTGATTGAAGCCGTCTGCGATTACAGTTGATAGCTCATTGAGCGCTGTGACTGTTGAGTGTCGCGGTCTGAAGCCGTGTTGATGTTCTGCCGTCTTGAGGTGTTTCTGGAGTATCGGGAGAAGGCACTTCTCGAGTATCTTGACTGCGGGGCAAAGAAGTGATATCGGCCGGTACGCGGCACTCTCATTGGCGGGTTTTCCTGGCTTCAGTAGTGGAATAATGATAGAAGTCTTCCAGATGGCGGGTATTTGACTTCTTGAGATGACTGGGGATGGACTTCTCTTCGTGCACGATGGAGGGTTTTTTGTCCGGCGGGTTTTGAGGTCCGCTGAACGGCCATTTGCACCAGCTGTCAGCTGGTGTTGGTTCCACCACGAAAAGGCGGCCTTGTCTGGAACCCTTTTGGAGCTTCTTATTTTTTTTCGGCGTGAAAACTAAGTCGACCTTTCTGATTGCGTTTTCCTTATCAAGTGTTTTTTTTCTGTTCAATTCCGATTAAGTTTGCCTTTTTTCAAGTTCCAAATACAGAAACCCCACTTTTTGATGTACCGTTTTTCTAAACCAGGTACTACCTTTTCTGAGTGGGGCTCTAGCTCTGACGGCTATTAGTTTATCCGTTGGAAAATCCTCGTAATCTTTCTGGTCCTGTGTCGGTTTTTTGACTTAGTCGTTTTCAATCTAGTCATTCTCCTCTCAGTCCTGCGCTGTTGCAAAATACAAAATTGACTATTTTATCTAAACTTTGCGTGTGAGACACAACTTTTCCAAAAATTGTTGGGCGCATTTTAATAATCATTCATAGAAGATGTGCCTCTAATTGATGGTTGGTTAGTCGAATGAAGACTCTAAATGTTTTTATCAATTGCTGAATTTAAAGTAGTTTTGTCTCGTTAAACGACATCACTTATCTTTTTGATTTAACTGTGTATAATTATCGTTCTACGACACCATTGGATTTTAAATATAGTTGATATAAAATACGACCCATTGTCCACTCTAATGGCGTTTGGAAGTTCATATAGATTGCAGTCATTGGATGGAAAATATTACATTGATTATATTGAGGTGGTTCTCAACACTTTCGTCTTTGGAAAATTTGAGAAACTGTCGATGCAAAAAAAGATATAAACTTTTCCACCACAATTTTTATCCAGCGGGTCGGCAAAGTCCAAATCAATTTCTTCAATTGATTCTTTGAGTTCGGGAAATTTCTGAAAGTTTGCTGCGCTCATTATAAGATGATGGTTCTTACCAGTTTTTATGCTATCTGAGCAATTTATCCCATGCTGGTAAATTTTTCTGTATTGTTGAGGCCACCAACACTTTGCTGCCAAGGACTTCAAATCAAGCTGTCTAGGATTGGTTTCAAGAAAAAGGGCCATGAAAGGAGATCCAAGAGCTGAAGGAAAAAAGAGTTTGTTGTCATCAAACAGCAGTCCATCCTTAAAAATTATCTCCGGTTGAAAAACTTTGTTGTAAGCTCCAAACTTTCCCAATTTCCACCTCCTTCATACTGCTGTTGTTGTTCACCATTAAATTAAATATACAATTTTTCTATAGTTTTTAAATATTTTAACAAGGGTTGATAAATGATATGGGGGATGAGGGTAAGTTGAGACCTCATCTGGTTCATTGATAAGTTTCGATGTATTTGAGACATTTGATTGCCCATAACTTTGACTTGAATGTCCTAATATTTAGCGCTAGCAGGTTTTTTTTTGGCGTGAGAACTTGATTGAAATTGAATAAATTTGTCTAACGTCTGTTGGACAGAAAAAAAAGAAAAAACATTTCTGATCTGAAAAACATTTCTGAAAAAGAATTTGTTTTAAATATTTTGTGAGACAAATCCTAAGGAGTACAACAACTTGTACAGAAACCTGAGCGCAAGTTGTTCGAATTGCAGTTTCAACGTGAGTCTGTGAAATAATTGAGAATAATAGCAAAGAATAACCGAGGATGTGTCATAACTCTTCACATTTACTGCCCGATGGGAGTACTTTCTGTTTGCTATTGGCGTCCAATGAATTATCAATATATACAATTCGCTATTCCTAAATTCTTTCTTTACAACAATCATAGGCAAAAAAAACTTTTTCTTGTAATTTTTTGTGAAGTTTGCGACTATCAATTTCCTTATTGGCGTCCAATGAATTATCAGCATACCTGATTGGATCATACTTTGAGCACGTCAAAAAATACACTCAAAGGACATAAAACGAGCAAATTTAGTTGTCAAGTAATGAACTGAAAAAAAATTTGGTTGTTTTTGTCTTTGTTGTTTTCTCTGCAAGAATTGGAGATTCACTGTTGACTTTTTAACATATGGTGAACTAAACGATTTATTCAAAAAAGGAAAAAACATTACTTATAAATGGCCGGCCATTATTTGTCAACTTATGTGAGAGCAACCAAATATTCACTACAGATTAATTGTTAAACGTCGTCGTCACTAAATCCCTCCTTTGACAATTAGTTTATCACATATCAAAATGTTCTTCTTCTACCCTCAGTCGCTCCGATGGGAGATAGTGAACATTTCTAACTGTGTAATTTTTTATACACTATTTACAGCCAATTTCCTTGATATTCTTGCACAGTGTTCTCAAGTGTACCTTGGATTTACAACTTCAACAAATTTTGTTCGCTGGACATACGTTTAGATGTATTTCGGTTAAAGCGTTGCCACATTTCATTCACGACTTAGACTGTTTCTGTTCAAGTTTGGTTCTCCTTTCACAGGATTAGTTTTTCAAAACAATTTTTTGTTGTTTGACCGTGACAGGCTATTGACTTGAGGTTGGTTTAGTTATTCTTTTTCGTTGTTGACTGCCTGATTTAGGGCATCTACTGGAGTAAGCGTTTCTGATAAGTGTCTTTGTTGAAAATCGCGAGGGAAAATGCCACTTTTTCCAGCAATTGTTCTCGACTAGAAAAATATTTTTCAGTACTTTTTATCTCTTCAGGACAACTCAAAGCAATTGAAGTTGTTTGTTGCAATGTCTGTCAAGGGAAAAGTTTGTGCGACTTGACAGAGCAACCAGATGCACACTTTAATGTACGCTGACTTTTTTGACATTGGATCAAGTAAAGCGTAGATCTTACTTTTTTATTTTCCTCGCATCTTCTAATGCTACCAAATTTTCTTTTCTCCTCCGAGATCTTTTTTCTTCTGCCACTTTTTAAACTCGCTTGACACATTTGTTTCTAGCATCCCTTGCTTTCCTCGTCAGTTCATTTTCTGGATCTTGAGTTCCTTCTAATGTGGGAATTCCGGTTCCCGCCAACAATGATTTTATCAAAATGCCAACATCTAAGTTCTCTTAGGCGAGTCGATAAAAGTTTTTTTTCGAAATTTATTTGAAATGTTTAAGGCTGATTGGTGGCAAGTGTATGCCAATTGTCAATTATCCGTTGTGTGAGTTCAAGGATGGGAGAATTCTATTTTTTTGCTGCGGTTCGATTCCGGACCGCAGCAAAAATTTTTGTTGATGTCTTATTTTTGGCTTTCATTCAGTTTTTCACTTCTTACCGTTTTTAAGCTACTTATTCTGGTTTTCTCGTTTGTATTTATGATTGCAGCTTCGCCTCTTGTTTCATTGAAGCAGTTTTTGCGTGATAAATTTTTTTTAATTTACCTTAACATTTATAAAATGTATGTTTCTTTTTTTTTCATCGCCACATAATAAAA